AGAAGATTGATTTAATTTACTTTTTATTTGTGTTTCTTTTAGGACAGTCAGATTTGGACTAAGACAAAAAGATTCATTTGCATACTCACTAATATGAAGATTACACGCAACCCCAAAGTTAGTGCAACGTAACCGCTTGAATTAGACTGATTCAAAAATGTACTTTCCAACCAATGTCATCATTACAATAGCTTGAATCTAGGATTTTATACCTTATAGTATAAAAAAGGGATAAAACAATTGTTGAAAATGGTCCTAAAGGTAGTTTGTAAGACATATTACCAGAAATAAATGTTTATAGTTGGCGTTACGTTTGGATCCCAAAGTTTGCGTTGTGCCTAAGATATTTTTTCATTACTTTGAAATTGCTGACACTACTCAGAGGGCTGTCTGTCAGTTTTGAAATAATTTGAATCGCTAAGAAAGTTGTTAATAATTAAAGTTTAAAATGTTTATGTATAATTGCAAATAAACTTGACAGTTATTCATTATAACTACCAACCTATTCAAATATCTTTATTAAAAGATATCAATTTCATACTTTTCAAAATAAAACCACAAATTGCGCCCGAAACGTACCCAAACCTGATAACTGGCTGCATCAACTTAAGGGAGTGCTGTCAGGAGTGCCCTTACCCAACATGTTTAGAAAACCATGCCATGACAGAAATATGATAGACTAAATAACTACCTTGTAAGTAGCGGTAGTTTGTATAGCAGAAGCCAGTAGCGGAATTCATTGACACCAAACTTGGCACATACCTTCTTCAATAGCATTTTACAGTATGCATCCCTCTTAAAAAGGCATGGTCTGAAAAAGACATTTTTACCCAAATGACTACATGTAACAAAATATTTATTGACAATGTGGATTTAGGAGAAAATATTGAACCAAACCAATTGCAGAAGTGATTGTGTAGTTAATTTAGTTTTATTTTTAACTATCATTACTTGAGCTGATTTCACGTTGTAAAACTGAGGAAATAAATATCAGTACTAATATTATCAGAAGCAATATAGTTCCTAAATTTCTCAAATTTTGTTTGCATTGTCAAAGTTATTCAGAGTTCCATATCTTTAGAAAACTGTAGTCACTTTCTTTCTTTGTAACACCAAAATCATTCACGACATAGACATTTATGTGCAGAGTTGAAGCAAAATGCAGAATCATTTTACGAACTTTGTTCGGAAAGTTCATTTTTGAATTGTATCTGATGCTACGTTACATATAAATGGTTCTCCCTAGTAATGAATTCGGTACAGTATCAAGAGAAAGAGTATAATTTAACAGTTACATTAAGTCCTTTTATTCTATTTCGGTTCAAAAAATGTTAGTTTTGGAAACCTTTAGTGTTCATAACTTTTAGCGGACTACATAAAGTTTGAGGATAACTGAAAATTCTCCAGAACTTACATTTTCACACATACATAAATTAAAATCGCTCTTCTTTGTTTGTTAAGTCATACTCTTTCTTATTAAACCAAAAGCCTTTCGTAAGGGAAACGCATTTATAGAAAGCAAAGTTGAATCAAATATATACTATTAAAAAAACTTTCTTCTTTCTTTGATTAGACATACTCCTTATGCTTATGTAAAGAATCAAATTATTGTGTCACTTTGAGTTACACATGAAGTCTGTAGATTGTCAGAAACGAAACACTTAATGAGGTAAACAGGTTTGAAGACCCGCGGTCCGCGGTCCAGGATAAAGCATTGCCATAGCAGGAAAAGTTCCACTCACATTGATTTATAGATATTTGCGGCTACAATAATGTTTTATCTCTTCCAACTAAAAACGCGTTGCAACAAAATTTGAGACGCTCATTTTTGTTGTCTAAAAGACGAAATTAAATAAATTGGAGGTGACAGTAGTGACACTTGATTTTGCCCGTAAGAGTTGGCACTTCTGCTCCACAGTCACACACTGAACAACTAAAAGTAGGAAGGCGTCGTTTAACGGTTTCTTGTTTTCAACTACTGCGACAAGCGTCTCTCCAGTTTTCGTCATTAATTTTTGCTTCCTTGCAATATTGAGCTTTACTGATTGTGCCCGCAACGTTAGTAAGTGTAGTGCCTTGTTTCGCAACTGAAGTGGCGTAACTGCAGCAAGCATTTTCAGTATGTAACGCCGCCTAGCCTCCTAACCTCCCTCTCTTGGTGGGTACTTATAGAATTATTGTGTGTTTTCTTCAAGACTGCCTTACTTGTGTATTACATCTCTTTCTTGTCAATGCAGATACGAGTGTGCTGTTCTTCGCACTTCAGAGCAAACAAGAAAACTTTATATCCTCTGCTGTGGATTTTTTGGATTGATGTGCATTGTCAGCACTTGGTATTTCGTAGTAGGCCTAATTTCTATTCTGCTGCTGCTCTACAAATAAGGTAACCAATGAATTCTTTCAGGTTCTGTTTAACTACTCAAAGAAATATTTTCATATTTTAAATTATTACTGATTCAGGGACAACCCAGTGTGGAATCTCACCAAATTAAGGCGGACTGCTCAAACTACTTCAATACAGGTATTAAACATTTCACATCAGTTTTGCTCTGCATGCATTTCTTCTCAAAAGTATTAATTCTTTTACTTCTATTAAATCAGGTATCTACAGCCACATCTGCTGTGCGAGTCATGTTCACTGAATAGAGCAAGTTTGCTGCAACAAGACTGTGGTAATCTCTACGCAGTGAGGCTAAATAAGACAAGGAATATATTTGTAGCAGCAAAGTCGCAATGTAAGTACCTCATATTTCATTTCATCAACATAAATTCAATCTGAGTTTCTTTAATCACAAATTCTGTCTTTGCAGGGATAATCACCATTAATTCCTTCAATCACCAGCCAGCAAGAGAGATATTTATATTTCATAGTTCCTGTTTTCTTGTAGGTGATTCTTGAATATTTTGACCTGCGAATTCGATGTTGGTTTTATGATCTTTGCAATGCTTCAACAATTTGGCGGCTTCTGTTATTTATTTTTGGTTTGTATTAAAACAGCAGTGTAATTTTAACTTGACTTGTTTAACT